CTCAATTTATTGTGGGGGGGGTAGTTAAATATCCTGGGAGTTTGCAGACTACGATTCTACTTTGCACGCGGGCATACATTACGATGAAGTCCAGTCATTTAGGTTTTATCAGGTCCAACGGCATTTATTCCAGGCTATGGCGAGAATTATCTCGCCCAACTAGTCCCAGGCTTTAATTATAGTTTAAAGAAACACCGTAGCGATATATTACATATTGGCCACTAAACCGACCACCACACACAAGTTTGCACGTTGCATAAAGTAAGCACATATTTACTACGTTCTAGTATAGCAGGAACCTAAGCTCAGGTGTTTTAATAAATATTAATGGAGTTAATTTGTAATTACATAACCCGATTTACAATATCAATGAGTTGCTTTGTTATAGCATAACCTGATTTACAAGTACAGTTAGTTGATTGCAACGAATTAACTCGATTATTCATATCACACAATTGCGTGTTTCTATGATACTGTCTTCAAAAGAAAATCAAAAATTCAATTAAATTGAATTTATGTCTACAGTTCATACGTTCGAGGTAGCGCCTTGACAAACGACTTGACAATGACATCGAAATACCAAGATCTTTCGGTCGAGCACCTATCCTACCGCGGCAGTACGAAGAAGATCTGGCTACTTGGATTGTCGGCATGGAGCGCGATGGGAAGCCTGTCGGCTATCGTGAAATCGTACAGAAAGCAAACGAGATTCTTACAAACGAGTTACAATATGAGGTGTATATTAGTCCACGTGTGCCAATAACATTGGAAATGTTATTTTCCAACTGAGACTCCAATACGTGATACCTTTTCAGACTTAGTAAACCTCTATTAATTTTTATTTCTCGCTGGATGTAAAAAAACTGACACATGGATTCTTCATACTTAGTTCAAGTATAAAAGTTGGCCCATCAATGGTCGGACACGTTACAGTATTAATAAGAGACCTCAGTTTGCAATTTACTGACGGGGGCGAAAACAGTCACTCATCCGTTCGTCTATAGGCGGCCCAATACATAGTACTCCCTCCCTGTCACTATAAGTGCGCGACTTAGAGGAGGGTTGACATGGCTTCGCATTATATTCTCAAGACATTTTTGACAATCGAAATCGCTCTCTTGGGTTCAAAATTAGTCGCTCTGATTGGACCATTCGAAAGCCAGTGTCAAACCTCCCGATTTGGTCCAACTTCGAGCGGGAAATTCAACGAAATGAAGTCGTTGTGATGA